TTCAGCTAATAAGGCTAATAAGCAAAAAATTCATTAAGCCGCCCAGCAGCGCGACATGTTCAGGCTCATATCCATTACTAAGTCCAATCACTATCCGATACCAAATGCGAATGGTGCTACCAAAATGTGCATGACCGCAGGCCAACAAATGTGTGACTGTGCGATACGAAATGGCACAGGGCTCAGATAAACGTCACGTTGGTAGCATGTTGGCCCTGCTTATTAGCCTTTTTTGCCCCCTCCAATGGCATTTTCTAGTGCTGATCCTGTCACAGCTCATCGGTATGATGTGGTAAATGATATGCACTGATATAATGCTCGTGAGTAACAATTGAAAGCTAATTAAAGCTGCTTAAAAGCAAGGTATAAAAGTTAATGCTGCTTATTTAAGATTTGCGTACTGTTGCACTCGATTTGGTACTCGAAATCCTTCGGTGTTCTCGCACTTTTTCAGTGGAGGGCATCTTCTCTGTAGCCCACTGATTCCGCATGTAAATCTTTTCGCATTAATCCTCGGCCTTACCAGTTGTTCATCTCCTCGTTGTTGCCGCTGTCGAACTCATGGCTGCTGGGCTCACATAATGAAAAAAGCAGAGTCCTCGGGTGGGGGAGGCCTATCCTTATATGTAAGTACACATATGTGCGGATACTCGTGCAGAATGTGTTGGCTTGGACATAAGGACGTGTGGACTCGGCCCGGCCCGTCCCGCATTTTTGCACAGATGGCCGAGGGAAATAAAATTTAATATTAATGCACTTAACACATTTTTCACTTACGCTGTAAAATGTATACTTTCACCCAACGTGATATAATTTTTGTCACTTTTTTAAAGCTCCCACACTTTCGGCGCACATAATTGCAAATTGATTTTTTTAATGATAATGTTGTTGGCTCTCCACTTTTTTACAGGTATTCAAAGAGTCTGTGCGAACAAATGAAATTAAAATATGAATATGGAATGCACAAAATTTATAGTTGTTTGATACTTAGCTTAATGTTAATGGCATTTTCCTACATGCCACTTGAAAGTACCTAAAAACCATTCGCAGAGCACGTAATAAATATACTTTATTGCAATGGGAGAGTATCTTTTTTACAGCATACTACAGAGCTATGCGATTTCGCCACTGATTTCAGGCCACTATTTTTGTATGAAGCACGCCTAATAAGCTTCCCATGAAATTGGGTAGACTACAGCCTCAAAACTGGCGTCTTTATTATATCCCGCTTTTGCTGCCCGTGCTGCAGTTGTACTCATTAAGGTCCTTCGGGCAAGTGATTAACACAAGCTGTTGCATGCCCCCGGGCGTAGGTTGCAAGCACCATCCCGCCCAGAACAACAGTGGCAGTTAAAAATGTAGTGCTGCCTGCCTTTGGGCTAACCCATTCTGGGCGTTGGTGCAGAAGTCCCGGCTCATATTTACATGAAAGACAATTGCCAAATGAGTGGGTGAAAGTTGGGAGAAAGGACCGTGAGCTGCGTGCAAGGTTGTGCACTTGTTTTAAGATCTACTTGAAACTACAGCATGTATGTGGTGAAAGCCCCATCTTGGCAAAATAATGTTGCCTACTTTTGGCCACCTTTCAACTAATTTCAAGACCCTTTCATCAACGTTTTTGGGAGGATTAAGAAACTATGCATAGTCAGCGTGGCCTACAAATGATTCACAACTGAAAAACTCTCAATCTTGAATACCTTTGACTTTTGCAACCCTTGCTAACGGTATCTTTTCCAATAAGCCTGGCTATTTTACGCTTTCATGTGAAGCAGGAACAACCCGTTGGCAGAACATAATCCCACAAAAAACGATGCGCCATCTGAACTGAAAGCTGGACTGCACTAAACCCCGAGCTTCCACTTTCAATTAAGATCGATTCGTGCTTTCACTTCACCGCCTTCAATTTGATGCGAGCTTAGTTTACTTTCAGTTCGCTCTTTTCCTTCAGCTGTATTTGGCCAGGGAGGACTTTTCGCATTGTTACCACGAACACGAAAATAAAAACTAAAATCCCGAGCACTTAAATCCCCATGTAATTACAGGCTTCGTGGGGCATGTGAGCTTCAATACCCCCATTCATTGAGCCCCATCATATTTACCATTGGGTTTCATTTGGGTCTTTATTGTTGTGCTCCACATCTGCAGCGGCTGCAGCTTGACCGGCTATATCCTTCCCCTTTCGTCCTTCGCCAATGTTTCTGCACTAAATTCAGTTGTGCCTCAAAGCGTGTGTGCTCAAACCCTCCACGCCGAACTTTTTCTTAGTCATTTTCATAGTGGTAATTGTCCGAGTTACGCACATTAATGTCCTCGGCAAAGGATATGCCGTGACTTACGTTGGCACAGACGCAGTCAAGATAGTAGGAGAGATTCCCCCTCCGATGGCAATTAATAATTAATTATTAATTATATTATGTTATTTGACATAGCTCACAGCTTACCAACGCGTTTGCTGTTTACTTGAGCTCGGATCTGACATTAAAAGTAATCATCATCCGCCAATAATAACTTAGCCTCAGCTGTAGGGCGCGCCCCGCCCCAAGATATTGCTTCCCTGTTCCGGTGGCGCCTCGTTGTTGTCCTGGTTGTTCGGGGCGAGTCAGCAGTCAAGTGGTTGTCTGTCTCCGCTCAAGTGTCACCAGGACTCGGGCTGTCCTCTGCTCATCACACACACACACACACACACACACACACACTAACAACGCCAGGCTGGCCCACTCACACACACGCGGACACAAGCTGGCAGCGATCCAAGTGGCTGAAAAGGGAGACTTAGTTGGAGGACACTGCGTGTGCCATTTTCACTTCCACTTCCGCCGCACACACACAGGCGCACTACAGGATGTGCCTGCATATACCACATACATATGCATGAGTCCTTCACAATGTTGTCTGAATGCGAGTCCTGCGTCTAATCGTAAATATTCTTAGGCCCTGTTTTGCTGCTTGATCCCTGGCCTTAGCGCCCTCCCCTCCCCTCCCCACCCCGCCCTCTCCCCGACTAAGTTGTGTAATTTTCCGGCTTGAAAACTTATCTCGCTTTATACTTTCCCTCTGTTCCAGATTTCTTTGTTATTGGGTGTAGTTTTCGCTCCACTTTGCCCTGCCAGTTCAAGTTTAGGGGCTGGAGAGCGGAAATATATAGGAAAACGCATAATTCTTGTAAGTTATTGCTCGTGGCCTGGTCTTTCCAGCTATAAATACTAAGTAATTACTAATTACTGTTATAACATTTAAACGAAAGAAGCAGAAGGAATAGGCAAGCTAAATTTAATCCTATTATTCCTCAAAATGTGTCCATTTCGGATCGAGATAACCTTGTAAAAGATCATTTTCTTTTACTACACAATGAGAGAGTTTTTCTCTATATTCTCATATAAATAGATGGTTTAAAATATCATATCATCATATCATATATTCGCTATAGAGCCATCCCTACCATACTTTATGAACCCAACATTAATCTTATTTCCACGAAATCGCACACTCAAATGGAAATTTTCCTGGGAAGGAACTTTCCCACGAACACCTAGCTTTCCCCTTAAATCTTTAAGGCGAAACTCTCGCACGAAATTCGCTTAAAACTTGCACTCCAAACTTCATCTGCCGCACAAAGAGCAAACACATCACCGAAAAGAAGATCTGGCCCCAACATGCGGGGAAATGGGGGATGTGGGTGGAAGTGGGTGGAATTCGGGGAAACCTGGGGGGAGTGGGCGGTGGTGGGCTGTGGGTAGTGGGTGGTGGGTGGTGGGTGGCGGGTGAAACGGCCACTTGTAAGCAAACTCAAAGCGGGACAGGTCCCAGTTTCAAATATCAACGACGGCTTCGGTGAGTGCTTAAGCTCATCTATCAAAATATTTGTCGTAGCTTAAGTGACGAAAAGTATGTTAAAAGAAACTTGAAAAATATTGTCAAAGCAACAGCAAAAAAACCAACAAAGGAAATAAGAAAATGAACCCCAAAGTGTACTACCAAAGGCCGCGGGTGCAATTCTAAAAGGATATCAAATTATTCGGATCCACGGTGCAAAGGGTTAATTGAAGAGCTATGTCGTTAGGATTCATCTAGAGAAATTAAATTCGCAAATAAATGCACTTATAAATTCTGACGTTGATATGTTCATCTTCCTTAACTTAAGCTGTTGTAAATAGCTAACATTGAACATAAACTAAGGCCTGTGAAGTGTGAATACATTATTAAATAGTACTGTTACTAAAATCCTCTTAAATACTCCTGTTTTAGTCACTGGATTTATATCGCAAAATTTTGTTATCACTTCAGGGTTCTCGAGCACAGCAATATATATTTTTTTAGGAAGTACAAGCCTTGATTTCGGCACACAACAGTAACTTCTTCGTTAACAAATGAGGTTTTCAAATGTTCATTTCTGGGGCGCCACCCAATCAAGTCTTTTTGTGCGGCCATTCCTTGTACTAGGGTTGAATGCGAAGCAAAGACAGGAACCGCATATTTTCCCGGTTCGTGTCCGTGGTAACACAGATAAATTTCAAAAAGAGTTGAGCCGCGCAAACGGCAATTTAAATTTGCATTTGAGTTAAGTATTAGGTAATAATTTCACTACATACCTCTTTAAATGAAGTTTTTGACAATCTGGAGAGTTAATATACAACTATGCAGCCTTATACTTGCATTAGGACGTCGGACAGCATTGTTCATGCATTTTAAAATCTGCGATCGTACGCATATTTGAATAAATTGAAAGCATTCCAAATACTTCCACTAATCCGCGGGCACTCGCAGTTCATCGCACACTTTTTGTAATAATCCCATCCATCTTGACAATTGCCTACTCACGGAATTCCAAATTAAGATTTCATATTTTCCCTCAAGTGCTGTGTCTGCGAGTTGAATTGGAATCAGGCCTTCGGGCTCATATCTTTCATTAGCATTTTTAATGCCTGTTTAACCTTTGTGTTTGAACCTCATCTCTCGATTGTTTCCTGCTGAGTTTTTCTCCCATCTTCCAGTAGGCTGTGGGTCTTCCGTGTTTGGGCTGAATTGTCTTATAAATCTTTCTTTATATTATGTCATTTTCGTTTGATCCACACGGGCGTTAACATCTTCGGTCAGTTGAACAGCCTAGTTAATTTACACAAAAATATACATCCTTTGAAAATTGGTTTTACATTTCATAAACATTTTCATTTCAGAAAGCAACATGAGTATTTCTTTAGTGCGCAAGCATCTGCACGAGATGGGGATCCTTAAGCGCCTACCATCCACGGGTCGGAACTATATACCCATGGCCGGTCCTCCTCGATTTCCGATGAGTCCTGCCCAGCGTTTGATCATTGGCTGCGGTTCCTTGGTCGTCATGATGATCATTCCGTTCTACTGCCTCCTCAGTCTTCCTCGATGGTCGAGGATGCACTTGGGACTTCCGCCTGAGGAGGAGGAGCAGGTGGAGGAGCCTCCACCGCAAGAGGCCGGCGAGGAAAAGGACCAGGCGAAGAACAAGGACAAAAAGGAAGAGAAGAAGAAATAGATGCCTGACCTTATGACACGCTTTCTCTTAAACGGTGACTTCTGAATAACACTTTTCTGGGGCTTCCATAAGGAGAATTTATCAACAGCACAGCATATTAAAATCGCCAGATCGATCGGTTAAATAAACTAGTTCGTGTGATTATCACATTACTTTAATCACATGTGACACATCACATTATTTGAATGTCATATTTAGTGTCTGTGGGTAAAAGGCTATCGAAATCCCATTTTCCTTCCACTTGTGGCCATCACAAAACGTCGCCATCGTCGATAGTGAAAGTGGGGAGGCCATACTAAATCATACTAAATCAGCCGCCTTGATTTACTTTACACCCCACAAATAGATCCGTTTGAAGCCTACCCGCCAATTGGGGATCCACAGTAGCACCGCAGACAATAAACCATCCATTGTCCGCGTCCAATTAGTTGGCTCAAACACCTCTTGCTAGAGCCAAGCGAAGAGCTCCTGTGGAAATGCTCCTCGAAAGCCGCAGACCATTTTCCACGGCCGCCTGCCACAAATCAAATTGCTGGAAAACTAAACAAACCAAAATAAACTAAAAAACAAAGCGACGAGAAATCCTAAAAACCCAAACCAGCCGAGGAAACCCAAAAGCCAAGTGCCTACTTTCATTAAAAGTATTTTCGCGCTCATTGCCAATGCATTCGATTGTGGACTTTCTGGGTCTCTGGGAGTCGGGAGTCGGGAGTCGGGAGTCCCATGCCTAGTAAGGCCTCCGACTTGACTTTGACCACCTCCTGCTGGCTGTGGGCCTCGTATCGCATCCAATCCTCGTGATCTACAACACAGCGTGACCTTCTTCGCCTTGGCTACACAGCAAGAAATTACAGGACTTACTGTCCTTTGTACTTCAAATAGTAATCGAATCAAACTAGTAATAGAGGAATGAAGAGCATCTGCTTGTGGCGGGCAAATTAATAGCACAGGGCATCCTTACCATTATCGCTAAATTGTGAATATTATTTTCCGTGCAGAGATACTCGTCTCCAGTCGAACCGAAAGAAAATCCAGAAACGGCCAGCCAGCACTCGCACACGAAATTTGAAAAAGTAAAACCGTCGAAGGAAAGTGAATTTCTTTTTAAGCAAATCAACTTGCCACGCCCCCGGCCAGCCCCCGCCCCGCCCCTCCTTAGCTAGGCCTGGAGATTCACAGATTTTTGGTGAAATTTCAAGTGCCATTAAACTGGTTCTGTCAGCCGTTGCACTGTCGATCGGATTTTCGTTTGGCTTCGGCTTTTTGCTTTGGGCCACGTTTTGCGTGTTTGTTGGGTTCGCAACTGCAACACTCCTTGGGCAAAATGAGCCCTGCAAAATAATATCCAATCAACTACATTGAGTAGTTCAAATTAATTCAATTCAAAACAAATTATTCGCTTCACTATTCACTGTAGTAACATTGACCTGATAGGAATCTCTGATGCAGGGTATGATATAAGTTGGACTGCTTGTTAGGTGTTCGGTGTGAGAGTGATACCCAGCAAAAGGGTATTCCGGACATCTGCTCCGTGGGAAATTGGCATGTGCCCCCGGTTTCCCCCGCCAGCGCCCACACTGCGCGCTAAAAACTTGCTTAATTTTCGCTGTAATGCCGCGGCATTCAAGTGGCAGGGAGCTGGCTCCATGGACTTTTCGTGGGCGTTGCGAGTCGAGCTCTTTTGGGGCAGGTGTGGGGAGCGGGGCATCAGCACTTGCTGCACTTGCCACACGCTGCGTTGCCTGGCGTTGCGTTGCGTTGCGTTGCGTCAGTTTAGTGTGTCAGAAGCCGCAAGAAGAAAGTTGCTCCGGGTATGAAAAGCCAGGCGCTTTGATCCGGTTTGGTGGTCGCTACAGGTTCGATGTTCCTTCGATTGGGTACCGGGGTGCTATTTTACTTTCTGCCGCCACGAAAAACCGTCGTCCACTTTCGGTCGCAATTAATTATGCGGCGGGCAGCTGAAAATGAAAGTGCGCACTGGTTGCAAGTCCAGATCCAGATCCAGATCTTGGGTTCTCACTCTCTCTTTTCCGGCCTCTGTGGATCGGCGGCTGTGTGGTCGCCGTGTATTTCGAAATCACTGAAAATGCCACTTTTTTCCAGCCATTAAGCAGCAGGCGGCTTTCAGGACACAGGAAAAAAAGGAACTTGGTTGAGCGGACTTACGAACACAACACTGCAGCATTGCTAGATATAACCAGATATATAGTAAGTCCAGGACCCTGACCCCACTCACGACTCTTGCTTTTCTCTTAGTGCTCCTCGGAAAGTGAGACTATTCTGGCGGAGATCTTCATTATCATCAAACGAGCACGCCGGTCCGCAGCTCCCAGTGCCCCTCCACCGATGGCGATGTCGTTGTCATCGTCATCGTCGAACATAGCGGCCCATAAAGAGTTCGCTTTATGCCCGCCGACCAGCTCGCAGGTGGTCACTTAGTTTATGGCCGGGCAACCGCAAGATCGCACACCGATCGGAGCTGATTTGTTGTCGCCATTCCGCGACCAAGATTACCAGCTCCAGCCAAAGGGGTCCAAGTGTTCTCTGCCCGCTGCTGAAACCAATGGGACAAGTAGGGACTCGAGCTGCGATTACTCAGGCAGATACGGAATCTAGAAATGCCAACTGGAGACTCATGTTCGATTTGGGCACAAACAGCGAAGTTAAATGGTTTACTCGAGACTCTCCGGACAGAAGGTTATTGTGTCTTTGGCACGCCATCCACAATAGGCCTTAAACACAATTAACAGCGTTTATTACCCCAATTGTGTCCGCCCACGCCTTGGTGACCATTTCCGAGCATCCCACCCAGCAGACGCGGACGAACGCACTCCTAACTCAAGTTTATCGGACTGTCAACACGCCAGACCCTCCGGGACCACCGATCGATTTGTGCCCATGGAAATCTCATTTCGGTTGCGCGCAAATAAAAATAAAGCGCCGCCCATAAAAGTTGTGCGAAATTCTGTACAATAAACAAGGGGAAAGACAATCGATCGACGGCGGCAACGCGATCGGCGGTTTTATTTGATCTATTTGGGAGTATCAGCGTAGTACTAAAAGTAGGGAAAAGCTCAATGCGGCTTGGGAAAACTGTGGCATGTTTTCCCAACATCAACTCGCCCCGAGTTGGAGCTAATAATCGTTTAGGACGGAGCTCGAAATCAAAAGCGCGGACAGCGAAATATTCCTCTAACTCCAGACACCAATTATATTAATGGGCTTTTGTTGTGCTCCACTGGAGATCGGGTATTGGTGGATCGCCCAGATGGGGGAGTGCAGTGTGGAGCGTGGCACTTTGTCCCTGCACGAATCACGTTTTGGAAATTGCATTGCACATAGGAGGCAGCCGCATGGCGCAACTGCGAGCTCTGCCCCAGGTGGAGTTGAACTTAGGCACTGACAAAACAGAAACCAATTGAATGGAAGGACAACCTAGCATGTTCGGACATTTCAGAAGATCTACTTCAATTACTCGAGTCCCTTTTATGCATAGTTGTATATGAATATTTCCCTATTGTACCCCTATTTCTCGGCGTGTATATACATTAGCTTGACTTAGAGGCTTAGCGGGTTAGAGAGACAATCTGACGGGCTGTCAGGGGTTTTGCGCAAGTTCTGGATGGGTATTAAGTGGCACTTAGTTTTAATGCGCTGCCCTACCGTTTAAATGGGCCTCGCAGGCTCGCAGGCAAATCGGAGTTACCTGAAATAATTGCATGAACACAAATTGGAGCGCGCCGCGTAGGAATCGTTCTGTGATTTCGGTGATCTTGGTGATTCCGCTGATTGCGACTCTTCCGCCGATTCCCAGCTTTCTCCGAAGGTCTTCTGTCTTTTGTCACGTCTACTTGAGCACGGCCCCCGATTCCTCCGCGATCATGGTTCTCCGATAGTTTGCCCTAAGCCCCTGAAGAATGCTTTATAGCCGGCGAAAATAATGCGTATTGTGATCACTGGAGCTGGCCCAAAGAAAATAGAAAATACTTATTGCTGACTTCCCCGCGGAGGGAGACGTTCTTCTTGTCATTGGCGCTTTCTGGGTTAGCTGGTGTGGTATTTGGCACTTGGGTCAATGTGCCACATGTGGCACTAATGGGCGTAAGGGGCGGCAAGTTCCCAAGCTCTTAGTTGCCAGTGGTTGGGGAGTGGGAAGGGTGAAGTGGCCATATAACTAGCAGTCTACAGCCGATGGAAAGCTGGAAAATCACTTGATTTGCATTTGCAAATTAGCTCGCATCTGTGGCGGCAATTAAGAATGTGCAGGCCTAGAATGCCTGGACCCCCATGAACATGTACCCCATTTGAGCCCGCACAAAATTCCCACATTCGAAAACACAGATCGTAATGAAGACGTGAAAAAATTGATTACCTGAGAAGAACACGTACGATAATCATAGCTCCGCCGCCCTTTTCACAAAGTTTTCCCCTCTTCTTTCATATTTTCCTCCATTCTTCTTGGCCAACAGCAGCCTTTCAAAGGCCTAATTGCATCACGTTTTTAGAGCAACTCCACCACTGCAGGCCGGGGCTTGAACATGCCGACAGAATATTACACAATTGTTAAGGGCCAGGAGACATCGCAGCCAGCAGAGCCTCACAAAAGTAAGGCCCATTAGTTGCCCAGCCGAGATCCCCGCCCCAAGCCAAACCCCCCCTCCGACACTCTACGGCCACATGCATCCGTATCTGACGGGTTGACTGACTGGCAGGTTTTGTCAGTGACAATAATAACCATTTTCGAACAAGCCACCAAATAGCAGACGCTCCAGTTTCCTCACCTAGACGATCACTAATGAAAGTTGTTTACTATGACAATTTAGTGACAACGTAAGTTCTAATACTTAATTTTAAGAAATCCATTTAAAATCTTTTCGAGCTAATACAATGTTTTCACGGTGTTTGTGCTCCTAATTTATTAAGAATCCATTCCAAGCCTGACTTCCTTTTCAAAGGGCCCGAAGTCTGCCGAACTCTACCGAATTTATGCAATTTCTGAGCAAAGTGTCAAGCGCATCGGAGCGTTGCATCCTCTGCTGCAATGCAATGCTGCAACATGTGGCAACCAAAGTACGCAATAAGCAGCAACCAAGTTTGGCCAAAAGCGACTCTACTTACCTGCGTTTGACACACATTCAGAAACTCCCATTTTCGTTGGGCAGAATCAAAC